TTCCCAGCATCAGGGTCTTTTCCAAAGAGTCCTCTCTTCACATTAGGTGACCAGAGTATCTGAGCTTGAGCTTCATTATCAATCCTTGAGCAGTCAGGGTTGATTTCCTTTAAGATTGACTGGTTTGACCTCCTAGCAGTCCAGGGGACTCTTAGAGTCTTCACCACCACCACAGTTCAAAGGCATCAATTCTTCGGTGCTCAGCCTTTTTTATATAGCTCTCATTTATTTTTATTTTTAAAATAAAAACTAAATACATATATAATAATAAAAAAACAATAAAATATATAATAAATAAAAATAAAGACTAAAAACATAAAGACCAATAAAAGATACGTCTTTTCTGTGTGCTCTGGCTTATTCTGAGCCAAGAAACTTCTATATTGTTTCTACTACAATTTGAGTACAATTTGGGCCAGTTGAGTGTTTTCTTTCCAATTGAGAAGAGCTTAGACCCTGATATTATTTCTTCTGGCTGGAGTTGCTGTCAAGCACTGAACCTGGGAAAGCATCTGTCTGTGGGCTCTGACCTCCTCTTTTTAAGGGAGATACCAGAAATCTTCCTATATAGCTTCTGGTGTAAAAATGTACAGGTTGCAGAACTTCTCTTGTGCTAAATTGAAACAGATCTTTTATATTATGGAGAGGTGCAACTGTTTAAAAATTGTATGTGTCAGTTCTATGCATGGACTAATGTGTACATTCACCACCTCTGACCAGGCATAGCAGAATACATGTAGCAATTCCAGTACAGGTAGTCCTTATTTAGCAACCACAGTTGGGACTGGCAACTTGGTCATTAAGTGAAGTGGTCACTAAGTGAAACTGCAACTGTGCTTATGATCTTACTTCAGCTTTCCTTTGCTTTACAGACCTGCAGTCATAAATGCGAGGATTGGTTGTAAAAATTACTTTTTCATCACTGTTGTAACTGTGAACAGTCACTAAACAAGGCAGTTGCTTAACAAGGACTACCTGTAGAAGGCATTGTATTTTAGAATTAATTTTAGAATTATCATGGGGAAATGAAAGTTCTTCTTAGTGGCTCAGTTCCCACACATGCAATTTTTCCTGCAGAGTTGAAACATTCAGCTGATCAGCATATATGGTGAGTGGCATTGCATTTGATGCTCCTTTCTCTGCAATTACTTGTCTTCTGCTGAAGATAAACCCAATTCAGCTGTCACTTGCATCAGGAGAAAAACTGGAACAGAGGCCCCATTTTCATTTGATTTTGATTGGAGAAGTTACTTGCATCACACCAAATACATGGTTGGGAGTGAAATTAGTTTCCATGTGATTTTGCATATAGATCGCATAATTTGGTAGGATGTAAAGCCACAATTAATAGTAAAAATTAATAAGAGACTTTTGAAACCTTAATTACCAGATGTTTCATTATGGCATATGCTTGTATTCATTTTAAATCTGTCAGATGTATTAAAAGTGTTATTCTAAGCTAGTTATCTTTACAGACTGTTTATTATATTTTAGTATTTCCATTACTTTGTAAATAACAAATATAATAATTCTTTATATAAATATAAGTTATAACATAATTGTGTGCATTTAATTTCTTTCTGATTGCCCATTTCAATCCATTTTGTGGTTACTGACCATAATAAAGTATTGTCCTCCTCTGCAACCCCCTCACCATAACTTTATTATTCCTGCCTCCCTCTTTTTTGGGGTATAGTGTCATCATTGTACTTGATGCTTTATATAACGGTTGTCAGGCTCCTGTACCCCTGTGCCACAAAACTTTCAGTGTCTTTCCTGCAGCAGATTCCCATGGCTACTCTCTGGAAATGCTTAGTGGTTGCACTTTGCTTTTGCAATATTTTTAATCTGAATGTTTGTTCATCCAGGGATGTTTGTTATATTAATCAGGAAATAAGCTATAGGAAATATAATTCAACTGAAACTGATTTACTTTTCTCCTAGTTTGAGGGTGGTCCTTTGTATTTTTATGCTATCTTATTTTTATATTTCCATTTGAACAATAAAGTTAACCAGGATAAGCACTACTAAGTGGTTGTCTTTGAAAAGCTAAGACGTTTTCATGGGGAGAGACCCAAGTTGCTTTCACATATTCTAGAGCAGCTTCCCTCAACTTGGTGCCATCTAGATGTTTTGGACAGCAGTTCTTACCATCAAGAACCATCACAGTAATGCTGGCTGGAAATTATGAGAAATGCAGTCCAAATTGTCTGGAAGAACTGGGTTAGGGAAGCTGAACTGGAATTAGCATCTTGCTATGCTTCTTTTTGCTCCCCCCTCCCATGTTTTTCCATTTTCATATTCATTTCTTGCTACTTTTTCTCCCCATGAAAGATTTGGGGATTTTTTAAAAATTGGTTTCAACTATCATTGTTGATGATTTGCACATTTTCCTTCCTTTGCTTTAATGCCATATTTCTGATTGCTTTTTTTTTTTTTTTCTCTGCTTCTTTTTTCTTTTCTTCGCATTTGCCCTCTGCAGCCAGGCTATATAAGAGACTTGGTAAGTGACAGTAAACCTAAAATAAACAAGCATGAAGACTTTGCTGTTTTATTAATATAACCTTGTAGAGATGCATATCAAGAGACAGAGTATGTCTTGAGCTCTAGATGTTTTGGAGTAATATTATGCAATAATATTGTAAATAAGACATAATGGAATTATCTGGCTTCCTTGGACAATGTCTACTAATGTTTTCTTCTGGGACAGAAGTGTGCTGTGTTTTTTGTGATGCAGCTTTTGTTTTGTTGCCTCCCTGTTTCATCTTCTTTCCGCACCCTGGATTCAATTTCTTCACGTAATGCACTATTAATTTATGGAAATTCTGCTGCAAGATGTGATAATGGGCATGAATGTATTAACTTTATCGAAGTGTTATCTGCCAAATAAGTGAATTCTTCTTAATTCAGAGGTAGCCAAGCTCTAAATAATAACTGGTGGAGAACAGGTTTGTGGCTATCATATCCTTCTTATATGAAACATTTAGAAAAATCTGGTTGATTGGTGCTGAGAACATGATGCTCACCTAGACAGAACTTTGGACTGATCAAAAAGGGCCACTGTATTTTTATATCCTAACTGAGCAGAACAATGAAAAAAGCACAGTTTTAGTGCAACTGGTTTAAGTCCAGAAGACCTAAAAGGAGCTAACTATAACTTGCAGCCATTTCTATTCCTGCAGCACATTGCCTGAATAGCTGCCATGGTTTCTTCTCTGTTTTTATAGTTTTTATCTAGATCTAGATCTTTTAAAGTCTTAACCTAGCTATGGAATCAATGAGAAACAAATACGTGATCTGTTTATAGGCCAATAATAAGAAAGAATGAAAATTATCACAGAGGAAGGGAAAAATTAACATTTTTGAGGCTAGGAATCAAACACATGCAGCCACAGCAGACTCTCATGTGGTCACTGCATGCCCGTCTGTGCCTTCCTTTGTGGTAATCAGAGATGCAGTTGACAGGAATAGAAGAGGAAGAGTTCTAATTAGAGGAGATGAAGTGAACCTTTTCCTGCTGGGTCCATTTTTGATTAACTGCTGGTTGAGTTCTTAAAGTGATGGGACTCTTAAGGGCAGGAGGAAAAGAAAGAGGCAATTCCAGATTTGCAGGACTGAAAGCCCAATTTTAACCCAATACCTGTAATAATGTTGCTGGAAGAGAAGGCTCTTTGTCAGCTGGTATTTGCTAGAAAGCTTTTGCTATTTCTTGTAGGTGAGTGAAAACCTACTTGTACAGTGCATTAACATCCTTTTGAACAAATGAAGAGTAGAATGAGGATGAAGATTGGGATTTTTTTCTTTCTTTGCATACCCACCAACCCATTTATCCATCTATCAGGGCAGACAATTTCCTCCAATGCATTTTGCATTTGTTTGGGGATGTATGTTGACAAGCTTGGTTTTTTATGGATTAGAACAGAAAGAAAAAAAAGGAATGGACAGGAGGAAGAATTGTAGACTATGTTTCCATATGTTACATTTACAGTGAACTTAATCACGAGTTACCCAACGTCTAATTTTCTTGGTTTGCATGATTAACCACATGCTAGATTACCATGTGATTGGCTATTTGTGATTCAGGGTACAATGCAAACACAGCTATGGGGAAGGGAGAGGGAACTGCAAACCGGCTACAGTTGCCCAAGGTTCCTATTTGAATCCAAAAACACACATGTGCACACACAGAGTTATTTCTTCTGAATTCAAGTGGAGAGAAAATAATTTGTTTCCTGTTATTTTAAGTAACAAACATTCAGGAAGCCAAATTTTTGCCACATTTGTTATAAAAACAATGCATTTTTTTGCTTGCTGTAGGGAATGTATTATTTTTCTTTAACCTTCATGCCATTATTCCTAATTCCAATCCTGCAAATAGCTGATGTTTGTAGCCCACTCTAGTATCTTTGTACATTAAAGCCAATTCTTCATTAGAAGGAAGAGTATCTGAGCCTGCATAATCCCAGATAGTTCTTTGTCCCATGAAGCCTCTTCAACCTCATCCTCCCATTTCACTTCACATGATGTATTGATGTACAGCTGTTCCTCTGAACATTCCATTTTTTAAGGGATACAAAAGAAGCCCCAGTTTCAGGAAATGCACATATAGAAGAAAATGTTCTCTAATTAGTATTAAACTGACAGTTAACAGATGATAGAAGAGACATTTCACAGGTTAAAGTGAGGTGGGGGGGGGAACCAAGTAGTGTTGGATCACCTCTTCTTCCTCCCTCATTTCTTTGTCTCTCTCTTGGCACTCCTCTCCCTTCATTCTGCCCCCCTTCCCATCTCTTATAAATTGTATCTTAAATTCAGATCAGTCGCCTCAAGTGTTTCTGTATCACCCTTACAGATCACTGCTCGGATCTTAGAGGCCCATCAGAATGTCGCTCAGATGAGCCTTATTGAAGCCAAGATGAGGTTTATACAAGCTTGGCAATCCCTACCAGAGTTCGGCATTACACACTTTATTGCAAGGTCTGTGGTTCCATAAATGTCCAGCCAAAAATTCCAGTTGTGCCAATATCTGTGCTATCATTTTCTTCTGGGCAATTACGGGAGGCTGAGGCTCCTTGGGTTATGACAGCTGTTCATAAGTATTGAATTTTGCACAGCAAGTAAAGAGCACTTTGCCCAACTTGAGTAAAGGGGAAAACATTACTTTTTTATCTTCTTTTTTAAAAAAACTAAAAATAATTAATAAATAATTATTCATTACAAGAATGACTGAAATGAAAAGCAGTAGAATAATCTGATAGAGAGCCAGTTTTCAAATACAAACATGGCTTTCTGAGATAGCTAGTATAGACAATATAGATCTAAATTCAAAGGTTTAAAAATTCCCCAAGTGTCTAACCATACAGGAGCTTACCTGTTACATTTTGCCTTGACAGAGGGGAAAAAAATCTTGATTTGACATGCTACAAAGCAGGGGATTCGTTAATACCTCTATATGAGACTGATAAGTCCTGTTAACATTAATGCAGAAGCAAGGTGGAACTATACTTGTTGTGTAGAAGCTGACTGGCAGAAGGCAAGTGGGAGGCTGGCTTAAGGTTTATCCCTGTTACAGTAAATCATGCAAGGTCATTTGAATGCACATACAAGGGAATAGCTTCTCAGAAGACAGATAATTCTTATTGAATGTTCTGATCATTTTTGGACTTGAATGAAACATTGCTGAAGATGTTCCTTCTAAAATGCAAAAAATGCAGGTTCCAAGGGGGTAAGAAGGAAGAACTTATTGGAATTGCTTACAACCGGCTGATAAGGATGGATGCTGGCACCAGTGATGCCATCAAGACGTGGCGGTTCAGCAACATGAAACAGTGGAATGTGAATTGGGAAATCAAAATGGTAAGCAAGGCCTTTCCCACAAAGCTTTCTGGATATGCTAAAATCTTAGATACTCTGTTGACTGCAATTTTTGGTTTAGGTTGTTTAAAGTACAAGATTGTATTTTCTGCCTTTAGGCTTTGGTGATGTCTTTGCTTTTATTTCTTGCATACTGTTCATCTTTTTTTAAAAAAAAGCCAGAACAAGCTCTTATCTGTTAGCAGCCTCTCTTCTTAGTTGTGAAGCTGACTCTGCTCTGTTTTGTTATTAAGAAGAAATGGGAAGGAGAGTGTAACATCCCAATCTTTCTAAACTCACAAAAAGCAGTGTTGTTCTAAGTAAAGAAGTAAAGAAAGAGCTTCTTATGTCACACTCTTACATAACATTTTGGAGATCCAGAACTTGGTAGATGGAAGAATTCATATGACCAGCTGAAACAGCACTTGCTAACTGATGATCTGATATTTAATGTGCTTGTGTCTTGTTGAAGGATGTCATGTTCCCTTGATAAGAAAGCTAAATTCTCAAATATAGAGTTGTTGAAAATCCTTCCAATTTGGTAGTCATAAGAAAAGATACATACATATGAACTGCCTCTCAGAGAAACCAGTCTGATCCTATACTGAGTTTGCAATAACCTTTTATGGACAACAGTAGGACTTCTCAATGCCTGTGGAACCCAGCAGGCTAAGCTCAGCCATAACGTAACAGCATTTAGCATTTCAAATGTTGAACATACCATTTAACATATCTTACTAATGAAATGTTATCAATGTTGTAAAACAGGAGCCTCAAAGAAGTGGCTGGACTTAAAGTCATTTAGTAGGTTGGCAGCTGAGATAGAATTTCAAAGCAGGGATTTCATTTTTGACCACTAGATTACACTGGCTGCAGTTTCCCCAGGATTTAGAAGGCTGTTAACACCTTCTTAACCTTTATTCTTGTTCTGGTCATCAGAAAATAATTAGGTCCCATTTCAGGCTTCGCATCCCAATCTTCCAAACCATGATTTGGACAATTAGGAACAAGCTGTGGATATTCACTTTCTCTTCTTATGTAGCAGCTTGTGGTCCGTTGCACACACCAACCCCCCTCTGTTCTCAGGTTGGGCAAGGACAGAATGGAATAACAGCCATGTAAGCTGCTTTGAGTTGGTTGGAGGAAGTGTATTTATTCTTATCCCAATGTGAGCTTTGTGACAGTATTGTAGAAGAAAACCCTTAAGGTCTTATAAAACATGTGCTGGATTTCTTGCACTTCTAGGTAACTGTAGAATTTGCAGATGACGTCCGAGTATCTTTCATCTGCACTGAAGTGGATTGCAAAGTGGTGCATGAGTTTATTGGTGGCTACATTTTCCTGTCAACACGTGCAAAAGATCAGAATGAAAGCTTAGATGAAGAGATGTTCTACAAGCTGACCAGTGGCTGGGTGTGAGTTGGATAAGACTGCCTGTTCTACTGACATAAACTAAATGGCCATATTAATATTTAACTCAAAAGCTGTTCTTGGAAATATGCTGCTTAATCAAGTTAAGCTTGAAGTGTATCTTTTCTTTTTTAATAAGGAAATTTGCATTAGCAGATCAATTTTTACGCGCGCTAAACAGCGCTTCCGTTAATCTGCTACACAAAACCAAAACATAGATCATGCAATGCCTAAGTTTGTGCCTCTTATCCCCTCACTTAGCAAAATGAGGTGGCGATCAGGTTAATTTCTGACAAATGTAAGCTAACCAAATCAGTTTAAAAAAACATTAAAACTCTAAGCCATTTAACTATATAGATACCCAGGGCCTAATCTATATGAAGTGTATTTATCATGTTTAATGCATGTTTTATGAGGTTTTTAAACAAATATATATATATTGTAAAATTGACATCCATGTGTTCAACTTCCTTCCTATGTTTAAGGTAGAATTTTTGGTGTGCAATCCAGGAAGGGTTTTTTTTTTTCTTTTTTTGGCTGCCCTTCTTCCCCATGTATTTCAGTGGGGTTTGTGCCTGGGCTCTCATGTGCATCATGGTGCTTGGTGGACTGTGTCCTTTATCCCTTACGTTTTTTACACTACATTAGCCTTTCTCATGCTGCTGTCCTTCAGATGCCCTAGACCACAATTCCCAGAATTCCAAGTATTCTGGTTCGGGTATCGAGAACTGAAGTCCAGGACATCTGGAAGGCACCAAGTTGAGCTCTTAGGACATAATTGGGTCTCTTACAGGGGCCTGAAGGTTTTTGTAAAAACAAGCCTGAATGGCCTTGAAAAATACTGGCAAATTTGGTTCCAAGTGTTATCTGTTTTTCCTTTTGATAATCATTTATATGTCGTGCATTTCTCTATTTCCTGCCCTCTTTATTTTTTTAACACCGTATTGTATTACAAACACCTTTAGTATTCACCAGCATAGCCACTCTTTATCTAAGATGATATGCAAAATCTTTTCATAATGATATGAAGTAAAGGTCTATGAAGTATAAGATTTTTTGTTTTGTTTTATGTAACTAATGTAAAAAGAAAAACACAAATTTTATAAATGTGTACAGGTTTTTCTTTCTTTTAAAGCTAGCCTCACAAGCCAAAGTAGGAAGAATCGCAATAGTATCAAATATATTGGCCTTACAGTATATTTTTAATGTAAGTTAAGTTCCTGACTTTGTTATAGCTGTGCCACAAAGCCCTTAACAACAATTTACTTAGTTGCCTAGAGTTTGGGGAGGGGGGGTGTCTCACTTTAAAATTAACACTAGCCACCGGGGGTTCCCCAACCCACCCAACACCAAGGGATAAACCAGTGTTGTCTTCAATAGTCCAAGACATAATAAAGACTATGTACAAATGCATTGTATTTTAAATAAAGGTTGAATCTTTTATTTAACATCTTTGTTTCAATTTCTTCTTGTAATCTTCAGTGAAAATTCACCAACACACTCTTCATGTGAATTCATCTGGTGTATTTATTTTACTATTAAATGTATATGCCACCTATCTCCTCCAGATGTGGAAAGCTGGATTGAATGGTGGCATGATAGAGATTTTAACTCATGCTCAGGCATAGCATTCACACATTAAAGCAAGGCAGAGATAGGAATTTGGGGCTGGGGTTGGAGGGACATGTGTTCTCCATGGAAAGATTCAGGAGCCTCAAGAGTTTCCAAAGTAGTGGGAGGCTGAGACTGTGAGACACATGCACACATTCAGACAGGTAAACTGGGGAGTGGAGAGACATTAATCTTGCTCCACTGGGGAATAATCTGGCCCAGTAATGCTAATGACGATTACCATTTGGCCATTGTGAATACTAAACAACCTGGCTTCAAGAAAGAAATGCTTGCCTTGATCAAAATCATTTGGGAGGAAGCCCATTCTCTAGCACAGGGTTTCTCAACCTTGGCAACTTTAAGACATGTGGACTTCAACTCCCAGAACTCCCCAGCCAGCATATGCTGGCTGGGGAATTCTAGGAGTTGAAGTCCGCACGTCTTAAAGTTGCCAAGGTTGAGAAACCCTGCGTCTAGCATATTCCATCCTCCCTTTCAGAAAGGAAATTCACATAACAGACTTTGACAACATGCAACCTTCCCATTCATCCCAAGCCAAATCCAACTGGATTCAAGACCCTCCTTTTCCTTGGGTATACCCCTGATCCTCTCAGAAGAAGGAAAAACAAATACTTTCTGGAAATGGTGACTTCTTTCCAACAGATCAATCAGCATTTCGTGAGGTTTTGCATTCCAGAGGAAATCCAGGAATATATAACAGAAGTAAATACACACAGAGACACACTTTCATTCATTCATTTCATAAAAAATAGCTTCTGGTGCATTTCCTCTTACTAAAATCATAATCTTTTGGCCATAATAAGATTTGCTAGCTTTAATCAGTCATAAATGTTCCAAAGTCAATGCTAATTATATTTGGGGGATAAGCTGACCTGTTCTGCAAGCCAGACTGTAAATGTTTAGGGCTAAACATTGTCTCTGCAGCCTTTCATTCGCAAGAGTAATGAAATCAAAGAGCCATGTTATAGAGATTGATTCTGGTGGAAGGATAATTACTAAAGGCTTCTTTCCTGTGTGAAATGGAATGTAGGTTACCAAGCAAATATGGTCTGTCCCTTATTCATCTGGAAGACCTGAGTAACAGTGCAACAATAACTGAAAAATTATATGAAACTTTATCTTGGGTTTTTTGCATCTAGGATCCTCCATTATATTCTTGCAAAAGGTCTGTCAGAAGAAACATATTACCAATTTCAGCCTAGCTGGTTATTTTAAAACCACTAAATGCCAGAATGTGGGGAGGGATTGGAAAGAGTAAACTGTAACTCCTTGGTGTGAGTAGTGGGGCTGCTGAAGGCTGTTGTCACTGCTTTTTTTGAGTGACTCTTAGGACATAGAGGTTGCACAGATGAGTGTGAGCGACACAATACACAGAAATCAGCAAGTTCACGTTCAGAGTTTAAGTATGATTAAAGGAACTCTAAAACAGTGTGTTTCAACCTCAGCAACTTTAAGATGTGTCGACTTCAACTCTCAGAATTGGAACTGGCTGGGGAATTCTGGGAGTTGGAGTCCACACATCTTAAAGTTGCTGAGGTTGAGAAACACTGCTCTAAAATGAGGTGACAAATCAATAACCAGCAAGAGAGGGATTGAAGTGAAAGACAAAGGTCCTGTTCAGATGTTCTAGAATTCTCTGTGTGAACGTACCATGTTTGAGATGATTTTGAGAGAAAGCTTCATGAAAGCGTATCCACCCATTCTTGTTTTGAGGCTACTGCATAAAAATTGTACCCACTTCCTTCCAACAGTTGTTTTCATTGGATTTTTATATATGAAGGGAAAGCTAAATCAAGTCAAGCAGTCATATGAGGAACTGCTTTAACATCAAGGGCACCAACTCTGCTTTCTTGCTTTCTATGCAGCTGGAAATCTGTTTCCTTTAAAAGCTGGAATCTAGTTAGTAATAAATCATGATTAAATTAACCATGAACACAGCCAGTATTTCTCTGAATTCCAGTCACAGGAGGACACAAGCAGGAGGATGTAGTTGTATTCACATCCTGCTTGTCAGCTTCCAGAGGCATCTAGTTGGCCACTGTGGGAAACAGGATGTTGGACCAAATAGGCATTTGATCTGCTTCAACAAAACTCTTCTTCTGTTCTTCTAATCCCTGAAATTAGCACCAAAGTCAGAGTCAGGGATGTCCAGCAGTTTTCTAATTGTTCCCCCTACAGTCATGTCCCTTGTTCTCTGTGGGTGGACTGGCTTGGGTTAAGAATAAGGGATAGGAGGAGCTGTGGAACACACCTTGAACATTTGGGAGAATAAAGTTGTAGTTTTCCTAAAAGCAAATACATGTGTGTTTGGAGTAGGAGATGAGGTAATCCTTTTCATGCATTCTTTACTGTCCGCTGGAACCAAGATTATTATTTCTTAAAAGCCCTGTCCTCCTTCCCATGGCCCTTTGCTGACCTCTTTTCCTTCTTGTATCTAATTCCCAGCATTGACTTCAGCTGTTTCAGCTGCCTTCCTTTCACTGTGCTGGTGTACTGCCTTGATCTTTGTGTAGGCAATCAACTCAGCGGCTCCCAAAGTGAAATGGCTAGCTGAGTAATTAAGTGATGCTGTTAACCAAAGCAGGATAAATCCCTCACTGTGATCACTACATAAGAGACTGCAGGCAGAGGCTGATGAGACAACAACTGATAGGATCAAATCCACACAGAGCCAGATGTTGAGGTCATATCGGTTCATATAACTCACCAGGCCAAAATGTGGTAGGCTACTTTTTTGGCTCGGTACATATGCAAATCTAGGAAATCCCATTATTCCCATAAACCATGGTTCAGATAAACAATCACAGAATCTGATGTCTATATTCAATACTAATTATCAGGTAGAAAACCCTTTCTCAGCCTTGCTAATGGGAATGACCAATTTTGCCCAGTGGAAAAAATAAGAGTGGCCAATGTTGCCCAATGAACATTAATTAGCCAACTTCATTTAGTCTAGTATGTGTGAACCCAGGCCATGGAATTAATTTGTAGTGCAGCATGTCATGTGAATCCAAAAAACAGAGTTGAGTAAATTACAGTTGTTAACCATGGGTAAATGTGTCTTGTAACCTGGGATCTTCAGTTTCTAAAGTCTGTGCCCTTCCATTTTGCTACAATCTATTGTAGCCCAATGCCAGTATGGAGACATTCATCTGCAATTCAGTTTTGTACTGATTAGATTTAACCCCTGCCTTTCCATCAGGAAAATAATGGGGCATAACGTGTGTGGTAACCTAACCAATGAACACTGGAGTTGCAATGGAGTGGGTCTACTGATGCTCCAGGGTCCTCACTAATCACTCATTTGAGAAATGCTTTTACTGAAAATAGTGCACAGAATGTTTCTGGCTGTTGTATGTGGGAGTGGTGACCCCAGAACAGTGTCTTCTAATGTGTAACAGTGTAAGTAGTCAGGTGAAGCCATAAAGAAACATAAAACATGCCAAGTACTTGGGATGAAAGAACATTTTATTCTCTCCATAAAAGTAAAATTTAGAGAAAACTGCTGAAAATGAATAGTAAGAGATGTAGAACATATAATTTAAATTATGGCATCTGCAAATATAAGGTGTAGTTATGGCTTATAATATGCAGGTGGATTCTACTTGTTTGAGGAGGAGGATATTTTTCAATGGCTACTATGCCACAATGTGGGGTGCCTGTGCCTCTCCTTAAGAGGAGATGAAAAACCAACAACAAGAGGAGATGAAAAACCAACAACCTCCATAGGTCAGCTGTTCCAGAGATCTTGCAATCAGAAAGTTTCCCCTTGTATTTTAAGTGAAATCTAGGTAGTTGCCACTTAAACCTGTTATAATGGTTAGTTGATTGGATATTGTGGAAACAGAATGCTGCCCTTGCCAGATCTTCGTCCTGACCCAGCATAGCTCTTCTTTTGTCCTATCAATTCAACATGGCAATATTACAGTGCCTGTGGTGCATGGAATTCCTGGGAGCATGCCAACTGTGCCAGCTGCAAAGATAGGACTTGAACCAAGATGAAAACCTACATGATACCAAGGATGGAGCTCCTGGTCTGAGGTTCAATGCATGCTGAGTGAAGGGAGGGGCTGAAGCGCAGATATTCACTGAGTAAGGTCAAAACTAAGTACAGACCTGGTTACTGGGAGGTATGTGCAGGAGGCCAGTACAGGAACACACCACAACAACTTTGCAAGACCGAAATGTGAGTTTTATTGCAAGCTCACCTAGATGCACTCAGAAGCAGGCCTTCTGACTAGAGAAAACCAGTTGGCTACCTAGATGATGGGGCCAATATAAACTACAGTAGTCCATTTTTTCTCATTGTGATGAGATTTTCCTCAGAAGGGATGGAGGTAACTCTTTACTGCCATCTAGGGACTCCAAGAGAAAATGATTTGGTCTCCTCTGCTGAATAGAGTAGGAAGACCAACTGAGGAAAGGTCCAGAGAAAATTCACTGCTTGGTTCTCCCCCCCTCTGCTCCACTCCCTAGGCCCTGAAGCAGAGCATCTGAGTTCCAGCAGGGACTTCTCAGAAGTTCCAGCTGGGATGCAAGCAGCAGTGAGCCTTGCAAGGACTTGAGCTAAACCTCATAGGGAAGATTTGGGAGAGCTGTTGATGTTGTGGCAATTCAGATAGTTTAAGGATGACACTATCATACAGATGGCACA